AGAGACAGAAACTGAATTTTGCTGTTGGAAGCTTAGTTCAAAATTAAAAGTAAGATGTCTAAAAATGAAGGTAATCAGTGAAGCTGGAAACAGCTGAAAGAAAAATTCCAAAAGGGCTCTTAAGCTTGCCTGTACTGTCATCAGCATCTCCTTCTCTCCATCTCATTCCTGCAGCATTGTATTGCTCACTCGGTTGCTGGAGCACTGATTTAAATGGATATCGAGGGGGGGAAGAGAAAAAGAGGTGAGCTTTAGCTCTGCTGCATGTTAGCACAGAAGGCAACATTTCTTCATGTTTGTTGTTCTTCTAGCTGGAAAAGTTGCCTGTAACTTTGTTGCCTCTAAGTTGCCTATAACTTTAAATGGAAAAGCAATTGTAGTGGTACAGCTGAAACTTCTCATTCACTGCTCCCCAAGTGTAGCACTACTGAATGTCACAGTGGCGTGATTCAATCTCTATTTTGAATGACTTTAACATAAGTAATGTGGAGAATCTCTACAAAAGTCAAAGTGGGAACACTGTGCACCAGTCACAGCTTTGTTTTGATGCACAGAAATAACAGCTTGCTCTCAGAACTCTGCTGCTGCTGTTACTACCCTCAGAGCTTGAAAAAGGATGTTTCTCCTCAGCTGACATCTGCTGCTTTTTTGATAAATCACATCAGCTCCTTCAGCACAGAAACCACTGGGGGGAAAATAAGAATAAAAAATGGGGAACAAAATGGCTTGGAGCACCCTGAGATGTTAGCTGGGTGTTTGCTAGCCCTCTCGCCCAGTAGTCTGAATTCCAGTCCAGAGACCGAATTTTAGGAGCCAATTCAAATATTTGCACCTCTTAACGCTCCTTTTTAATAGATAAATAAATAAGCCTTTGTTATGGTGCTATGGAAAATCTGACAGCGTTTCACAGGGATCCAGCTGAACAAGCAGTCCTAAGGGCTGAGATCACTACAGGGACTGTAAGAGGGCCTGGCTGTGCCAGTACAAAGGGATGCTGCAGCCTGTGCTCCCCAGCTGAGCTTCTGGGGCAGTTGGGTTGTTACATCCCTGGTAGGGTATAGTCACCCTGACAATAAATCTAGCTATATACTGTGATAAATGCAGGTGTGCAGATCCCCTTTCCTTGATGCCTAAGTAAAATCTGTTTTTAGTGAACAATATTCTCATAAAGACAATGCAGACTCATTTGTCCTGCCACTGGAATAACTGCTTACCTGCTGCACCTTTGACACGACGGAGGAATTGTACTGGAGGAGGAAGATGAGCCTGAAGGGAGATGGATGTCAGCAAAAACTTGATCTGCTTGAAACCCAGAGCACTCAAATTCAGCACATCCTGTGTTTGCCTATCTTCCCCTTTTTGATACTGATCTTCAGATCTGCATTCCTCATTGATTTCATATTATTGAAAATAACAGCTTTGGCATGGCAAAGCTACCAGTGATGTGGTAGGACTCTTCAGAGTATCTAAGAAAACAGCCATTCATTTTAAAAAGACCATAAAGTAAACCAGACTTTCTCCGTATATTAAGCTCAGCTGCCGCCTCCCTTTTTCTGATCTAATCTGCAATAGATGGTTGTCATATCCTGAATGCTTCTCCACCTGGATCTGTCTGTGGTTTCTGTAATAAGTCAGACATTCCTACTGAGAAACACAATACGCACATAAATCTGGCGTGCTGTTCGTTAGAGAAGGCTAAATCCTCTATCATCCATCCCATGACAAAGTCTGAGTGGTTGCAGTGATGTACCACCACAGATTACATCTCCAGAATTTAATCGCCACAAACTTTTCACTTTCTGGAATAAACAGTGCAGCTGAAACATGAAAATATTTCTGCAGACGCTGCAGTGAGAGAACAACACTGTGTTATCGATTCAGCTGAAATGCTTCTTGCAGAGCAAGCATCAAAGTAAGGCTGTTTTATCAGTTTACATATTTTAAACAGAGAGTTTATTTCTTGCGTAATCCTCCTTGAGGCATTCTGGTGGCTGAGCAGAACCATTGCCAGAAGCATCTGCTTCCTGATCTGCAAATGTAATTTCTGCTCCTCTCCTTCCATTTTTCTGGGCTGACTTCTGGAGTTTTTTCTGTGCTGTTGCTGAATCTGATATTGGTGTTTTTAATGAAGAAAACATGGGTTTGGATCTTTTTTAAGGGATTCCTGAATTTAGACAGAAACTGATAGTTTTGCTGCTCTGAGATCAGTCTCCTTGTGAAACTTTGCTGGAACAACCTTCTTCCTGTGCAGAGTAATCGTACCAGGGTGAAAACTACAGCATCCTGTTTGGCTTCAGTTCTGCTGCACTGCTATCCAGCTGTCTGTTCACTAGTCCCTATATGTATTGAGCTGCTTTGACAGAAGTGATGAGCTCAAGCATTTGGGACCTGCTGGTCTCCACAGTCAGACCTGATGGCAGGCAGAGAGCTTTAATGCAGGGCTCTTCCAGCATGACATCCTCGCAGATCTCTCCAAGGCCAGGTTGGATGGGGTTCCAGGCAGCTTGATCAGTGCCTGATATAGTGGTTGGCAACCCTGCCTGCACCAGGGGGATTGGAACTGGATGGTCTTTGAGGTCACTTCCAAACCAAGCCATTCTATGATTTTTCTCTCCTCCGGTTTCTGCCATGTTCTTGATTATTATCTTAGATGATTTATGCCAAGAATCAATTGTGGGGACCGTGAAAAGAAGTCTAGTAACTAGGCTTTTTTGCACAGATGCTAGGTCAGGATCTTCCTCCATCAGCTTCGTGGAAGATGTAACAACGATGAAGCTGATTTAAGGTGTAGGTAAGGTGAGCTTGTTGCTCTCAAGGGTTAAACATCTACCTCAAGTGGGAACTCTTCTGCAGTTCCTACCTGAGAAAATGGTTTGGAAATGAAAGCCCTTCTACTGTGTAAATACTCACAGGTACTGTCCTAAATATTTGGATATTTCTGTCTTTGCACTAGGATATTTTGGAAATAATGATGCCCAAGCTGAGAAACAATGCAATGTCTGCAGCTAACTTCACTTCTTACCCTGTGTTGAAGACCTCAGGGTCTGGTTGAGGTGGAACAGACCATTCTGGCTCTGCCAATGCCCTCAAGCAGGTGAGGAGCATTCCCAGTCCCCCTCCATTGAGGATTGTTCTTACCTCTTGTTCTTTTCATTTCTACTACCACCTAAATTGTCTTTTCTTTCATCCAACTTAAAGTCTCTAATATCTATTTGTGCTCTGTGTGGCAGTTCAGAGGAGAGAGAACTAGTGCAGCATTTTTTTTTTTTTTTTTGCACACTTTGTTCCAAGCAAAGGAAGTAGCAAAATGGCTGATAATTAACTATCTCATTCATAGCTTACGACAGAAATGACTGCCTCTTGTCAAGGCATGGTCTTTGAGGAGAAGAGCTGAGGATTGAGAAATGCTATGAGTTGTCATTCTGACTCTTTCTTTTGCCATTACTGTTTCTTTGCCTTGAAGATCTATCTTCAGTTATTATCCAAGAAAGGAACTGGTAGGTTTTCTCAAGACTCTCCTCACTGCTTGAGTATTTAACATCATATCCCTGGTGCAATTACTCTGTTGTGGGCTCTACTGACCAGATGTCAAAGGTTATTTTGAGCTGTTGTAAATGGTTGACATTTCATCTCCTGCCTTGTTACTGAGGTGTTGTGAGAAATATATACATTTTTTTTAACTTCTCAAGATGCAGAAAGGTATGTTACACCATGAAAGAAAACAACCCAAGACTGAAACATGACTCTTGGAAATAAAGTCAGACTGTTTTTATGGGTATAACTTAAATCAAACTAAGTTATGGGAGAATGAGACATACTGTCTCACTCATCTTGTGTTTTTGTTTTTGGTTTGTTGTTTTTTTTTGGTAATAAACACAAAGCCAAAGATTCATTTTCTCAAAGAGCTTCCTATTTTGTGTACATAACAGACCTGTGGAAAAACAAATTATCTAGGCGTTGGGCTTTGTTTCTGTTTTTCCATCTTTGGTTCCCCTCTATCTCTGAAACACCAGGAGATATGCTATGACTTCAAAGAAGATGCATCACGTATGTCTGGTTATAGTCATTCCTGGGACTCTAAATAATATTAAGTGACATGGGCTACTTGACAGAAGGGTACACTGCTGGTTTGCTCCCCTCTCTGCCTGGATTGTGGCTTCCTTCTGAGACTTAAAGTGAGGCTGGACAGAACGCTATTTATTTCCTATTGACATATGTCTGCTGGGAGAGGAGTCTTGGGTACATTCAGGACACAGGTTTTGGTAGTTTCCTTGGCTTCTTGGTAGGGCCTGGGTTAAACTAAGAGACAAATGCATCTCATTGTTACTTTCCCACACATCAGCTCCCCTCTGCTTTCCTGGCTCTGGTTTTAGATGCAATAGGAGCTGCTCTTCTTCAAGGTAGGGCAGCTATTCAGAATAACGTTCTTTCAGCTAGAATAAACAAGATCACGGTCTTCTAAACAGGCTGAGGTTCTTCCTATCTGAAAGATCAGGTGCAGTAGTTGTACCCATCACACCAGGTAACAAATGGCAGTGAAACTGTAATGGCTACTTTTATATGTGCCACATTAACTTGGCAAACACAGTTTATATTACTCCACCCGGGGCTGTGCTTAGCAGGATATGACCTAGGAGTTCAATGTTTATACACAATAGTGTACTGGTATATTTATTGTGATCTTTTTTCATTTAAGTGTGAACTTTAAAATGCTTTACTTCTAAAACTAAAAATATCTGTCTCTCTTTGTTGTTGATGTTGAGGAAGTTCCTATGTTTTAAATCTCAAATAAATTTTGGCCCCGTTGAGAGGTCTAAAGCCAGGGTCTGATCTAGTCACCTTCTCTGCAGAGTATTGCAATAGCAGTAGATGCAGAGCAGCCAGCAACTGGGGAGTAGGAAATCTGCTGTCACTCTGACGGGTGCTGGGAAACTCTGGGTCCTCCTACAAGCTCCTACTGGGTCCCTTGAAGTTGGTTTACACTTCAAGACGTATCTAGCTGTGTTGCAAGAAGGAAATGGCTTTTTACCCTTAACAATTTGGGTAGATAAGGATCACTTGCCAGAGAACCTGCCTTTCTGAATAGTGATGTAAAGTCAGCAGGGCTGGTGACAAGGGCTTGCCTTTCCTAGGCAGGATTCATCCCAGGAGAGAGTGGTGCACAGCAGTCAACAGCTCTGGCAGTGCTGCAGCTGAATAAGCATGAGCCTGGGGTGCTTCCTAACCTGTGAGTACTACAGAGATTTTTTGCCACTTCTAGCAGTGACTTTTTGGGTGGAATCATTAGACAGATACAAATAATTTAATATCAAAATTACAGCAGTGTGTGTGCATGTTTTACTCATCTTGAGAAAATAATAGCACCCTTTACTACTGCGCAGGGAGTTGGAGCACTCCTAACTGTGCCATGCGTGTATTCTTAAAAGAATTAAATTGCAGGACTGCACTGTTCTGCAGAGATGTGTCTGCCCAGAAGACGAATCAGGATGTAATGTTAAATATGTTGTAGATCTTACATATGCTATTTTTGTGCCTCTGTAGCAATGCGCCTGTTTAGCTATGGGTAGCTTTATGCATAAGTCTCAGCACTCGTGCCAAAAGATCCACACAACTTGCAGTTGCTGGTTTGTGCTTATATAAATTTAAACAGGATTTATCCACGCAAGAAGAAAACATGTGCATCTTTAATCAAGTTCCACATTTTTTCCCTTTTTTCTTATGCTGCTGTTCAGCTGTAGTGATTTCAGCAAAAACGTATGACTTACCAACACCAGGCTTCAGCTTCTCTGTGTGTAATGACTTAAACAATGCGGGTTTGCAGGCAGCTTCAACAAAGCAGAGCTTGCCACTACTCACAGCAGAATTTCTGTCACCAGGAGAAGTTGTTATATTCACACAGGGAAAGATATTAGCTTAAAGGTTGGTGTTTTTGTTTGTTTGCAAGTCGAGGGTGGAAATTTTCAAAGCAGCGCAACGGACCGAATTAACTGTCTCCCATTACTGGAATGTGAATGTGAAGTTGCTGAAAGCAGCTGAAGTACTGAGAGAGTTGGGAAATCTGCAGTCCATTGGCTGCACTAACGCTGAGAAACATCTGCACCGCCGGTCCTCTCCGTCCTGCTGGCTGCTCTTAATAATTTAGAGCAGAGCTAACATTAGGAACCCTTGTTTTTTTGAGTGCATTGTTTTTTCTTTCTCTTAAATGAGCATTTTGCCAGTGATTTGTACAGACATGTTAATGGTTCAGAGTGAAGTTTAGAATGCAAGAGATCCTTCTGGTGATTTTTTCAGATGCTAGTGATGCTTTGTGGAGATTACAAAATAGTCTTGCTATTTCATCAGTCAGTCAGTGTAAAATGCTCCTTGTGATTACATCGAATGCAGATGAAAAGTTTTCTCAAGCAGTCCAAGATATTAACAAGTGCAATGTATTTGTGCATTAAACATAAAGTACTGAGAAGTGCAATGTAGTGCTAAAGTCAGCTGGCGTGCTTGATGGCTACAGTGGAGATCAAGCTGGAGATAGGTCTGCGCATAGGGACTTTGAGATATTTTTTCCCCAAGAAAAGATCAACCATGTAGAAAACTATCTTTTTGTTTCTGATTATAACAACTTGTATTATATACTAACAGACTTTGTGCACTGGAAACTGAAATCGTTTGTCATAGACTGAAACATGTGCAATGAATAACAAATGCATGCATCTCAAAGTAACATGATGTTCTGTAATTTATGAAATGTTTCTAATAAATCACATAGGCTGCATATCATCCATTAGAGGGCAGGATCCTCAGAGTTTTTAATCCAGAATTTGGTACTTATTTTCTTTTTTGCTTCAAATAAGCCATTTTCCATAGAGTTATTTTCTCTGTTTCACTTTCTTCCCTGACCATAGTGCTGTAAGGCCACTCAGGGATAGTATGTGCACTTAATCAGGGAAGAAAGGTTTCATAGAAGATGGGTGCTAGGTGAAGCTGTTTGTACGCTGTATATCAGAGCCTGGTGATGCCAACAATGCAATGCTTTGAGTGTATCTCCTAAATCACTTACTGGTTTGGAAGTGTGCTAAATCTGTTAGGAGAATGTTAGAAGCCATTGCATCCCTCAGATTACATCGTCAGTCAAGCAGTGGTCTGTGTTATGAAGACAAAAGTGGCAGAGATGTTGTGTAACTGCTTTTGGTAACTGAAAGCTGGAGGCAGAGTTACTGGCTGGGATGTCCCTGTGAGGTGTCAATGAGAAAAAACATGGCATGTTTCATACAGAAACTATGGTGTGAAATAACCATGGAAACGGTATCATCTGAGCCTGCCAGGTGGTGAGAACAAGCTTTCTTCCCCCTATCTTCCATTATCACAGCTCCTGTGCAGTGGGAAGAAAGCAAGGATTGGGCAGCTGGATGACAGCTGGGTGTGAAGGAGCTCAGTTCTGCCAAGAAAGGAAAGGCCTCCTTGGTGAGGCCATTGCTTTTGCACCAGGAATATGATTTGGGGCAATGCCCAGAGGATCACAACTGCTTTTCCAGCTGTAGAGTGAGGGTGTGAGATTGCACAGCTCAGGGATGCTTAGTATCCTCTCTGTGCTTGCCAACCATGCAGGCTGGCTTATCTGAAACTTATAGGAATGAGTGCTGAAAGAGGCAAAACTCATCTGAATATCCTGGCTGTTACTAGATGAGCAGGAAGGATTCCGTTGCTCATTTGCGCAGTCCTCCTAACAGAGTGTATAATCAGGAAATCTGAGGATCTCCTAACCCATCCACTGACAAAGAGCTCCCGACCCCCTCATTAAAATCATGGAATGAGAGCTGCAATCAATTACAGAAGCGCTAAAGGCGATGAAAATTAGTTCCTCTGGGAATTTGCCTACAAATTTTCTTTCACCTGCAAAAATCAGATTACGACATAAAATCCCTGAGGAGAGAGGGGAATGAATTGGAAGACCAAGGCATTCATTGTATGGAAAAGAAACAATTAAAAATGAAATAATGAAGGCACAGCTCTCCTCATACACATGACATCTAACCAGATATATAGGAGATGGGAAGGACGTGTATAGGACTGAAGATGTGCCAGCTGAGATGCCAAGTTCACTGAAGAATAGGAAGACACGTTAGAGGGTGGACAACAGAAGTGCAAGGAAATTTCTACAAGAAGAAATGTAATTTAAGGAGGAAAATAAAATAGATTAGATTGCTTAAAGAACCAGTCAAGACTCAGTCAAATCACCAAAGGTGGACACTGGTGAGGTGGATCAAGATGGCCACTGCCATATGGAAAAGAATTTCTACTCGCATGGATTTTTCTAAGTGAAATGTAGTTTCTCATTTTCCATGTTATGGTGGATAAACGTTTTTGTATTTGAGTATGGGAAAAGAAATGGTACTGACTGCAAGCTCTATTCCATCTTCTTACTCCTCAGTAGACACGTGACTTTCTCCAGTGTTCAGCAAATAATGACTTTGGAAGGATTTCTCCTAACCTCTATAAAATTATAGGGCCTCTTTCTATAACTTATCAGTGCTAGTCTTGTGCAAGGCAGCACATGCAGGGTTAAGCCAATGAGTCTAGCTTGAATAAAAATGTTCTGCTACGTTTGTTCCTCTAGATATCTGTAAGATACTAATTTCAAAGCGTTTAAAAAGGGCAAGTGGGATGTGTGGAAAAAGGTTTGTGGAGACAGAAGGAAGAAAAGTACTTAGGAAGATAGAAAAGCTGTTAAAGATCTCAATTTCTCTGCTTGAAGTCAAAGTTTGAAGAGATAATTGATCTTAAATTATTTCAAATTAGATTTAATTTCTGATTAATCTATTATTTGATATCAGTGCCCATCAAAAACAATTATATTAATTCTTTTGAGTGATGCTACAAAATAATCTTTTCCATTTGATTTGAAGGAGTTAAATGGTACATTCGCAGTGGAAGACACTATATTAAAGTGCTGACAGATGTCCAGGTCCACTTTCCTCCATAATTAAAGCACTACTTGAATAAAACCTGAAAGGTTGTTGCCAGATCTCTTCTTTCAACCTTTTTTCATTACATTTGAGGTTCAAGTTTTGTAGAAAGCTTGGCAGAAACTTGAGAACCGCAGTTAAATCCAGACTGTATTTGACAAATATAAAGGAGTATGGCTGACAATTACGACCAAGTGCAAGTTGAGTTTTATGACTTTATGTAATGGAGGCTTTAGCCATCCTTTGTGGTGTTTTTTGGTAGTTGGCTTCTTTCCTCCTTTCGTTTTCAGAATCGTGATGTTTGTAACAATTTTATAAAACTTAAATATTATTTCTGTTGGAATGTTGTACCCAAAGTTTTCAGCTAATATATTTTGTTTTTCATTTACCTGCTGTCTCAAAAGTGAAAAACTTCTGCCGTGTTTACATCAAAACTTCAGTCTTGAGGTAAAATCTGAGTCACTTTTTAGTGGATGCTCATTCTAACAATTCAGCTAATCTGATACGCTTTGTGCATGACTGAATTTCACAGGCTCCTGCAGAAACATCCATCTTCTCTACAGTGATCAGAATCTATTGCACTTCACTGTATGACCTTGTAGCAAGATTTTTATCAGCCAGAACTATGTTGTTTTATGCCTATTATGTTATATGAAATCCCTGAGTGAATCTTACTGACCCTTGCCTCTCGTTCCAGCTCTGTCAGGAATAGGACTTGATCTTATTTGGAGTTTGGGTCTGTTAGAATGTACACCTCTCACTGTAATTTCAAGTACTCCTAGCACTGGAAGAAGTAGGTTTGGGAAAGTATTTCTAAGAAGAATAGCATGTTGTGCATTAGCTACTCCACATTACATTTTTGCATAAAGTGAAAGGTCTACTTCTTTTAGCTGATGTGCATAGGTGCCTAATGCTCCCTCTCATTCCCTGTGGAGCACAGTTGATATGATGTCCCTGAAAAGCAAGGTAATAATCACAGACGTCTGATAGAAAATTCATACCATGTGCTGAACAGAAAAGCAACTGAATGGTTTCGTTAGTGCTGAAAACACTAAGGATGTGGAACAGGCATTGTACTGTGGCATGGTAGGAAAAGCAGCAGAGAAGCCATCTAGGTTTTTACACCAGTCTGAAAAAAAACAAGGACAGGGCATTTGTGAGCTGTCTGAGAGTACACAACTCTGAAATCTTCACAGCTGAGACATAGTGACTGTCCTTGCCTTGATATTAAGTGAACGCAGGATATCTACAGTATGTGTTTACCACTGTG